CTTAAAAAAGCCTGCCAAACTTCGAGCAGCTTGCTGTTCAAGCTCAGCCCTTCCCCAAGGAACCCATGGAGCGAGGCCAGCGGCACATCCTCCTGGAAGCAGGCAACGTCCGTGCTGCTAAATACTTCCAATTCCTCCTCGAATTTCTAGTCAGGACTCAAAGAAGCTCTGGAGACCTGACACAGAGGTTGCTCAGTGTGACGTTTGGCCCGCGGGTCTCTTCAGACCAGCAGTGGGTGAAGTGAAATCCTCAGCCCAGGCCTCATCTCCAGGCCCAGGCCGCATCCCAACCAGCCTCAGCAGCCTGAGTGTGAGGACCTGGGGCTCTGTCTGCTTTGGAGACCTGTCCTTTTGTTTGGTGCTTTCTGAAAACATCGGTAGGTGTTGATTTCTTTTTACCCTTCATTTCAGGTGAAGTCTGCATGCCTGTTCTCCTGTGTTGGCAGGCAAGTGGGTTAGCAGTGAAAAGTGGCATTTTGGACTTTTACCTTCTTTGTAGCTCCTAGGCACTGTGCTATGATAACTACACAACCCTGCCCACATCCTGTGGGTCTAATAAGTATTTCTCTTGTATCAGGTTCAGATATTAAGGGCAGATTTTGAAGAGCTCAGCACCAGCATGTCCTACTGAGAACAAAAGGCCTTGCTGAAGAGTGAAGCCAAAAGCCATCTGCCCATGAACAAGAGGTTCGGCGCTAGCTGGGATCAGAGCAGCAGCCCCCATCCTGCTCTTCCTGCATTGGGGATCAGAGATGGAGATCAGCCTTATTTTGGAAGGAACGGGTCCTGTTCTTAGCTGGACCTGAGCACATAACAACCAGGACAACTTCAGGAATTTATTTTCTTCTCCTTGCCTCTCTCCCCTTTGGTTTGTTCCCAGGCTTTTTGGTGCTGCTCTCATTCCCCCCTCAGACTGACGTGCTGCTGCTGTGCAGAGAGGAGCTCATCTGCAAGGAGGTCAGGCCAAAAGAAAGAAACCAGCATCTGAGGACCGTATTTTAAGAATTATTGAAATAGATTCCAGTATCACTTATTTTTTTTACAACACAAAATCATTTGTTTATGGCAAAACCAAAAGAAAACCCTGAAGTGCTGAATTTCCCCTTTCTATCACCACAGTCATTAAGAAGGTGACATTCACCATCAGCTTCTGGGGACACTGACACCCAGGCAGTTTCTCCTCTTGCCCCAGAGCTTGCCCTGGGATGCTGCTGGTCTTTGCTCATTACCGCTGCTGTTATCGCTCCCCAGGGTTATGGGAAGACAGAACAACTTGAGAGTTTTCAAATCGAGGTTTCAGGAAGAAATAAGAGACACATGCATCTCTGCAGCCTGGTGGGGGAAAGAATGAAAATTAAATTGCTCTGGTGACATGCAGTTGCTGGCTATTAATTCCTTTGAGGATTTTGTATGGCTTCCAAAGCAAATACAAGATTAGCTGTTGGAGTAGTGGAGTAGTGTGGGATACGCATCTTGGGGTTCTTGCAACACAGATGTTATTTATTTAGGCAATGCTGAGCAAACCTACTTACAGATGTAATTTTGTGATCGCAGGCTAACTGTAAAGTCCAGCTGCCCAGTATCCCCCGTGATAACGTGAGGAAGCCGTGACCCCAGTGATAACGTGAGGACAGGACAAGCCCCCGCTCCCGGCCAGGGATGGATATTACTGGCATACCAGTGACTCAACCATTTTTTTTAATCGATGTGCAGAGGTGAGTGGAGCAAAAACCAACCCAGGTGCAAGTGGAAAGCATCTCCCAGTTGCCTGACACATTTGTGGTGATGCTCCGGCTGGAGGGGCTGCCCATCCCAGCTGCAGGTGATGGTGCTCAGAGGAAATGCCGCCCGTCTGAGAATGCCACTATTTTGTAAAAGCATTTTCAGGACCTTCCAGTGCCAGATATCCAGACGTGCTAATGCAAAATGCATTAGCCCGAGCAGCAGGAGCTCCGGGGCTGCTGGCGCCATTGAGTTCCACTCGTTTCATCTTTATTATAAATACTGCATTGTCGTCTCCTTTTCTTCTCTCATCCTCTCTTCAGAAAAGAATTATAAGGCTCTAGTTGACTGGTCCCTTTGACTTAGTACAGTTGTTAAACCACAGGCAGTAAATACCTTGTTCAATTGTTTAGGGTGGGTGTATTTATTTCATTGGAGCAACTGAATGAAATCTGTAAGAGCTAAACCTCCCCCTTTCTCAGCAGCTCCATGTCTCCACCTCTGAGCTGAACACAAAAAGTCCTCCTAAACCTGCCCCATGAAATCAGCCCACTGTCAGGCTCGCTCCTCCTCCAAGTTCAGCTTTTGGGGGTTCAAGACGTATTCCAGCATAGCAGTGCACAAGTGCCTACCCCATCACACCAGGCTGGCTGTGGTAGAAATTTGCATCTCAAGTCCTGTATGAGAAGCACATGGAGCCCACCAGTAGGTGTTTCCAAACTCTGATTTGTGTCAGCCACATCACTGCTCTTCTGAGGTTAAAAAAAAATCTCGTTTCTGGCCATCAGAGAACACAGAACAAAAATATGTCCTCCTAGGAGATTGCTTAGGAGAGTTTAAAGGGGGTGCTGAGCTTCCTGATGGACATGTGGACAGCTGTCTGCTGCTGTACATGGCTGTGCTGAGTCTCTGAGCACTGTATTTAACCTTCATGCCACCCTGTAATCCTTGTAACTAGTTTGGTTTTTATATACTGCTGCAGCAGGGAACTCCGGATTTATTTATATTTTCATTAACTAGAATGCCTCAGTCCACCTGTGCACACATAGTTATCATCTGTATAGGACTGAGAACGGAGTCATAGAATGGCTCGGGCTGGAAGGGACCTTAAAGCTCATCTAGTTCCAGCCCCCTGGCGTGGGACTTCATGGGTTTGACCCAATGCAGTTTGAGATGAAAATACATGGAAAAGGAGAAATGAGGAAGGACTATGATTTGAAGATTCTGGCAAGGAGGTAAAGCTGTCACTGGTTTTAAGGCCTAGCATTGCTTACTTGCTTTGAATTTAATAGCACCATTTTCATTGATCTGAGTGGCAGCAGGACTACGGTCTATTTAAAAGGAGAAAAAAAAAAAAAGGCATTTGACCCAACAAACCTGTTCCAGCTTCACATCTCCTTCCCTGCTTTCATATCCATTCCCAATATCTGGCTCAGCACAGCCGCCACATGCTATCTCCATGCTCCCCGTTCCCCTTGAGCAGCCCTGTCTGGCAACCCGATTTATGCAATATGATACAATTTCTTCCCCAGAGGGCCAGAAACGCATGGACCCAGTGATCAGGGAAGGCCACTGATTCCTCTCAGCAAGGGCACTTGGCTGGGCTCACAGTGTCCATGGCTGTTTTCATCCAAGAGTGAGCTGATAAGGCGATTTCCTTCCAAGTGGAAAAGCATAAATTACATTTATATGCAGATAATTTCCTACTTGCTGGGTTTAGCACAACAGGATGAATTTCTGTCCTGTTTCTCCAGCAGTCTCTGACCACATGAAACATTCACCATTGTCAGGGTGAGAGATGTTTTGCCAGAAGCTGGAAACGTGCAGCTGGCTGGGCAGAGGTGGAAGGACACGACCAGGCGCATTTACTCCACTTGTTCTGGGAGGTGGAAATATGGACCACAGCACCTAGATGTTCATCACAGCTGCTTACACCTTTGCTCATCATTTTTTCTGGGCAGACTACACATGCTTCAATCAAAAATTACAATTAAAAAACCTTTATGGTGTAGCTAACGCCCTGTGAGCCAACTTCAGGACCTCATGGGTTTGCATGGTACAGGGAAGCAGGACCGTGCTCAGCTAAGGAGCCCAAGAACATGAACTGCATGTGTTACAGAGAAAGGATTTACTGAAAAAACAGTAGAATATTCTCAAACTCTTCATGCCCATGAGGGAGGGGATACCAAACTTCCTTCCTACAGCTCTTCATGTGCAGCTAGAGACCTACCCCATTCCTCTCTGCAGGGGTTTCCAGGAGATTAGACCCCAGCTCGCAGCAAACTGTTAACTATTAGTCTTCTCTGTATCATTTACTGTTGCAAAGCACCCCAAGATCCCCCCCTCCAGGAATTCTTCATGTTTATTATATTGGGGTTTTATCTTGCACTCACTTCAGTGACAGCCATGGGAGTATGCTCTTCAGATTTAAAGATTAAGCTTTTATTTAAATATGTACTGCCCTAATGTTACACATCTGGCTTTGTTCAAAAGTGATGTTACTTGATTCAGAAATACGTTGTTCGCTGGGTCCTTTGTTACTCCATCTAACTCTTGTGCCGCGGATGCTACCAGCAGCTTCACCTCAGTCAATGGGCTTTCAATTATCTGGATTTAGGCAACCATCTAGTTCTGGACCTGCTGGGCCAATGCTGCAGCCCCCTGACTGATGCCTTTGGGGCAGAGAAGCTCCTACCCATCTGCCCTGAGCTCAATATTTCTTCCATAACTCTACCCTAATTTTCCATTCCTCAAGTTTGCCCCTCTTGGCATCTCGTGTGTGTGACAGGCTAATGTACATGAAAGCTTTGCAGAGGAAAAAGTCATCTTTGCTTTATACTGTATGCTTATAAAGCCCAGCAAGTAATAAAAGCACCTCTGAAAAAACAGTAAACACCCGAATGCCTTTCTATTTCTGGGATTACTTACTGCCTCTTGAATCCTTTGAGGTTTGACTGGTGTCTTTCAAGAAATGGCATAGAGCTTTGGCTCACTCATCCCTCTTTCTCTGTTCAGTCTTCTGCTTCTAGATTGCTTTTTTTTTTTCCTTTTTCTTCCCCTAGACTGTCTGTCCCTTCTGCAGTGGGACCTGATCTCTTTATCTCTCTCAAGACTGGAGATTTTCTGTTCTTTTTCTTCAAGTAGCACCTTTGAAGAGATCTCTGAAAAGTCAAGGGCTCCCATGATGATGCTGATGGTCCCTGATCTGGAGCTAACATCATTCTTTTGCCATAAAACAGACACTTTAATTGGCACTGAGAAATAAAGTTTATAGAAACTTTAAGTTTTAGAATCCAAATGGAATTTATACAGATACAGACAAGTCCCCCAGGCCATGTGTATATATGTACATAAATACACATATGTGCATATGCATGTCTACATTTATACACACACAGACACAGATAATAATAAAAAGAAAAGCTATATTCTGGCAAAAAAAGCTAAGAGTCAATACAGCAGTAGCACAGAAAGCCAATACTCAACATGTTCAATACCACAGAAAAAATCCAATTACTATCACGGAAGGTACCATTTTCCTAGACCTGCCCCAGGAACCTTGTTGCCCTAACCATCTGTACAATGCCCACATTACTCAAAAATTTAAACGGTGCAAAAGAGCAACATTTTGTTTAGCTTCAGGTTTCAGGGAACCTTTCTGCTTTGGAGTTTCTCAGCTTGAGAAAGTGCTAAGCTGTGCACAGTGGATTCCTGTATCTAGTGCAGCCATGCAAATTACAGTATAATTTTCCCAAGCCCAGCTTGAAATACAGCTTCCATCTCTCTCCTACTTAACCGTATCCTGGTGTGAGACAATACAATATTGAGAAACACTTCAAACTACAATAGTACCCAAACAATTCTTTTGTTTTATCAAGTGCAATGAATCCCCGAGGACTCGAGAGAACTCCACAGAAGGCTATGTAAGCAAAAAGAGAGGTTGCTTATGGTAAGCAAGGTTCTTAGCGGTGAATAGCCAACACGCACGTCCACACAATGAGTGTACAAACACCCAGCGGGACGGGGATTTTGGCGAGGGACCCTTCCCTATTGCCTGTACCTGGGCACCAGGGAATAATCTCCATCACCGTTTATGATATTTCAGGCACTCAGACCAAGCATAGGAGCAGAAACAGGTCCAGCCACAGCCTGTGACCCCTTCCTTTTTGAGGACAGCAGGCTCAGTCCCCCTGCATTGGCACCTACAGCTAATACGCTTCTTTCCAAATGTCTCCTGCCTCAGGTACCAGTCTACAAGATGCCAATGCTCATCTTCCATCAGAGGTGGATCACTCAGGCTGTCAATTAAAAGCATTCACTGAAGGTGAGCTGCAGATAAATTAATCTAATAAGAAAGCTCCATAGGTCAACAGCTTCCTGCCAGGGACAAGGGAATGTCCCAGCACACTGCTTGTTGGTGCTGGACATGACGGTAATGCTACCTGTCACTGCCTGGAAGCAATGTCCCTGGATATGTGAACGACACCGTTGCCTGCAGCCTGCACGGTGCTGTGGTTCATCATGTTTGCTACGAGGGTTTGTTTCGGTAAGGACCAAAGCTCTCGTGCTACTGCTCTCTCCACGTGAGCACACCGTGCTGGCACCCTGGATGGCCACCCAGAATTGTGTGGAGCCAAGAGTGAAAGTGGGTAAGGCGCAGTCGACACGGGGCAATACCAAGATACAAACAACTGGAGACCCTCATGACACTCAACACGATTTGGCAGTGAATGTTGGCCAAGGCTCCAGGGACAACGGGGTCCTGCACTTGGCAGTTTGCTCCAGGACCAAAAGGTCCAGGGAGCCTGTGGGCACTCCAAGCACCACACAAAGAGCTCCCAGCCATTCCCAGAGAAGTCCTCTAAAGCAGAGGTGGCCCAAGATGACTGAAGATCATTTAATTTGCCAGTTATGCAAACGAGGAGAAAGATTTCCTATCTTCTCTGATAAACTGCAAAGGTAGAAAAATCTCTGGTCAGCAGGCGGAGGCTGACCTGCATGCAGGGTGACTTTTGAAGGTAGAGCAAAGGGTTCACAATCCTTTCTGCTCGCTGTGACCGAGATGAGAAGATCCACGTCAAACATACCTGAATTTGGGGAAAAACTCAGCCCATGCCCACTGAGTTCACAGGATGCAATTTGCAATTAGAAGCAACACAGAAAGACACAACTGCACACAAAATGTGGAAGAAGGAAATCTTCACACAACATACCTCAGAACTTGAGGAAAAGGATGGAAAAATCCTAGTGCTCAGCAGTACGCTCTGATGGTCATTTCCCTCAGATTATGTTTTGTTGCCTAAAATAATGTTTAAGACATTGCATTATTGGCTGATGTTCCTCAGCCAATCAGTTCACATCTGTTTTTTCACAGCTTCTTTATATTTGTCCTCCCAGAGTCTTCTAAGCGGAAGTAGATGTTTTCAGCGATGCAAGAGGAATTCTGGATTAGTTTGGAGTTTTTTTTGGAGATGAAGAGGAATCTGAGGGCAAAACCAGTTTATATTTACTCATCAACCCCTGTATTTTGTAATATAGATACCAGACATAAGTACAGAAAAATAATGTAAATGTCACAAGCAGAAAGGTAGCTTCAATCCATCAAACATCTCAAATATTTTACAGTCCAAGTAACGAAAAAAAATCCTTTACTGGGAGACAATTGGTTTGTCACAATTCAGACAAATATTTGCTATGCAAAAGCAATTCTTACTTTACAAAGGCAGCGCGGTACCTTTGGGAATGCTCCCACAAGCCTCATTCCCATCTCTGCAGAAAAACAGAACGACACAACTCAACTGCTTGCGTTGCAGCAGCGGGTCAACTGCTCCGAAGGCACGGTCTCAGGGCACAGGGGCTGCTTCTGCCAGACATCGTAGACGTTTTACGTCATGCACATTCTGGTTCTCAGTTTCCCGTTACTGTTTTCTTTCAGTTTAGGGATAATCTCAGATGTATGTTTCTTGCCATTTAAAACCGAGAGAAAAACCACAACAGTATTTTCCGTGTAAGCCAAAATCTTTCACATGTGCCAACTGTCAGAGCAGACAAAAGAGCTTTGATCACAGTCAGACACCATAACTAGCTACTTGTTTTAATTACAGAAAGTTTTAGCTATTATTACACGACAGGCTGGCACATTCAGCACATGACATAATTTTATGACAGCTTTTCATTGCTCTCAGCGCAGCTCCAGCCCTAGGCTATTCCACTCACAGCAGAAGCATGGGCTTGAATGAACCCGGGGAGATACCGAGCCCTACAGCAACCCGCTTGTGCTCCGACCCCGCTCCCAGCCTCGATGGGATCCCACCACCCTCACCCAGCTGGTGCGGAGCCACGAGCTGCCCGCAGGTCATGTGCTTGCTTTTGTTCTTTAGCATTTCCCAAATGAAACAATTCTAAATCCATGGTCTGGGGGACATACTTCAGTTATTTGTAAATTTCTTCTACTTGGTGTTTTCCTTCTATTTTTAGCACACTTGCTGTTTTGAGGGACTGATGAGCTCAACCCCAAACTATTGTTTTTTTTCCTGCCTGGATTGCTGTCAGACCACCAGAAAAAAAAAAAAATAGCTGTGGCACAGGGCAGCCCAAACATTTTCACAAGTATTCCGGGGCTGTTACATGTTTTCACCTCTATTAGCAGTACTTTCATTTTGGCAAACGTTTCCGTGAACAAACTCACAAAAGCACCGATGAGGAGCAAATCAAAGGGATTATGACAGTTGTCAAAAAGGCTCTGTGATTTCTGTTTGAACAAACGCTTATGAGTACTCATTTTCTCATAGCTGGGAGCTCTAATCCTCATCTATTCAGCACATTACAGAAAAACACGAAAACACAGCCCCTATCACTGCATCTAATTTCAAGTGAAGTCAAATAAGTGTAGTAAAGAGAATAAACACAAATAATTAGTGACACTGATAACATAGGAACCGGGCTGAAAGAAGGCTTTCCCGTGGAAAACACTGGGAAGCAGTGTCAGAGTTGTTGATTAATTTAACAGCTATTAAAACATCTTATTAACTCAAGTGCTAATTGAGTGCTTGGCAGGAATAACAGAGCAGTGCCAACCATACACATACATAAAACTTGCTAAAATTTGAAGAAATTCTGTGGCTTAATATTTTGTTTCTTTTACAACTTGCTTTTATAGCACGTTTGGCTGGCTTAGGTGGCCCTACCTACCTGCTTTGTGCCGGTTTTGAAGATGCCATGCTTTGATGGCACACAGCCTCGGGTGTTCTTTAAAAAGGTAAGTCCATTTACAGTCCTCACAGCTGAGATCTTCTAAATCCTGCTGGAACACGTGCCTCACAGCAGTGCTTGTGTTTGCACAAAGACAGAAAGGTGCAAATTGATGAACTTTGGGAAGAAAGAAGCAGAGCCATAACTGCTGATGTGGTGAGCATGGAGGATTCAAGTGGTCCACGGACCCATGACCACGCTGACCATCACCTTCCCAGGACCAGTGGCTGGTTTTCAGATCCTCAGATAATTTTTATTTCACGTGCCTGGGCAGTTTACAGGGAGAAGTTAGACTGGCTTTCCTCCATCCTCAACATTTGAACCCCAAGGGCGATAGTTTGTGGTTGACACACATCATTTCCTTTCTTTTCTTGCACCCATAACCCACAGAGACATCCCACCATGACTCCTTGATGTGAAGAGGACGGTCACACGTTGCTGTGCTTTCCTTTTGTAGGAGCATGGAGGTCACCTCCACCCCTTCCCCACCATCACTCCCAGGAGGAGGGAAGCGACTTGTTTTTCCTGTTCGAGCAAAGCCAAGACATCACATTGCCTGAATTTTGCTCGGGGCCTAAAGGGAAGCGTATCCCACTGCTGAAAGCTCCAGACCTCTCCCCTTGGTGACTACAAATGGAGATGGTGGCAGAGTGCTCACTCCTACAGGGCAGGGCCAAACCTCCAGTCATACAGGATGAATTACCTGAGCACAGTCAGGAGATATTTTGAGCTCAGATACTTCAAATCCTAGTGATATCCAACAAAATGGAAGAAAATGTATGAAGTTTGCCATGCATAAGGCCACCTGTCTGCCATCTAGCCCTCAGCACAGCCCCATCAATTTCTCTTTAGATACATGAAAGGCAAAGGATGAAGCCAGGAATTACAGCCTTGAGCCCAAAGAAGCCTCTGAAAGGTTATTTAGCTGCAGCTTAAAAACTGCTAAACGCCCCTGGATGGTCTGTTTGCAGTTCCCCTGGAGCACAGACCAGCAAGCACAGGCAGGCAGTGCCGGGCTGGAAGCTGCACCTGGGTCCATGTTTAGGCTCAGGTACCCAGCAGAGGTCACAAATGTTTTGAGTGGTCAAATCCCCTGGGAACCTTGGTCAGAGGGGGGAGGGTGGAGGGTACATCGCCTTCCCCACTTCGAAATGGCCGGCCACCTAGTGCTGGTGCTTATTAATAACCTTGCTTAAGGAAATTGGCTGGAGTCTCACTTTTCATTGTGCTGAATGAATGGGACTAAATATAATCCAGGGCTCGTTTGGGTGAATAACAATGCAAGAGAAACTTCCTGTTCTAGCCCAGTTTAAAAGTAGGAGTTTCTCGAGGCTTGGTGAAATTCTTCAAATCTCAAGAAACATTAAGGTCACTCTCTAGATTCCTCTTCTCTTCCAAATAAAGATATTCTTTTAATACTCCGTGTGAAGGGTAATGTAGCTGAAAGCACAAGATGTTTTAATCAATGAGCACTCAGAAACAAAGGTGCTTCTTGGCTGAAGACCCAAATTCAATAATTATTTTTTCAGCTCAACTAGAATAAAGACATTATTTAAACATGTATCTGTCATCTCACGCTGCCTGCGGCTTGCTGCTGGATATCTATTTCTCAGGCGCACCGTGGCAGCTCCTTATGCAAAGGGGAAAAAACCATAACCACTTCCTCACACCTGGGATTGTGCCTCATTACAGTGGGGCGCTGCGTCAGGAGGTGGTTTCAGGTGCTGTTGGGCGCGTGAGTGTGCGCCCATCTTTGCAAATACGCCTGCTTGTGTTGCAGATTTGCAAAACCAAGGCTGGCAGTGTCTGATTTGGCACTTGGTGCCAAACAAAGCACAGGCCCAGGGGCTGCAAAGGAGGGGGGCGCGGGAGAACCGGGAGCTCAGCAGCAGCACCGCTGCCAAGACTGAGATTTAGAGATGTAAAAACACTTTAGCCCTGCCTATCTCCTCTCCCTCATCGTGCCGTTTGTTACCAACCCATTAGCCTTTCTGATGAGTTCTCCAGGACCTTCGATCCCCGTGTGCTGCCTGCGTGAGCAATGTCCTTGCAAAGATCTTTGCTCTGGGAGAAAAGCAAGAAGTTCATCTGTGACTCCTCTTTCTCTACAAGTGCAAAGTCTGTTTTATTTTGCCTTCTAAGTGTGCCACACGTAGTGGACCTGAATCCAGTGCTGCCAATAAATGCAGACCCTTCACCAGCTCAGAAGCGCAGAGCCAGCATGGTCCTGCTGGGCTCTGGGCCAGCCCCACACATTGAGGACAAAGGCTTTGGGGAAGGGGTGCATGCAAGGAGGACAGCAAGGTTGGAGGAATGTATGTAGGAACATGCTAGAGATGAAAAGGAGAAAGGGCAGGAGGACCTTGGGGTAGAAGCGAGAGAAGGTGGAAGGGAGGAGACACGTGGGGTACCTGATGGGTATCTGCAGGTGATCACAGGGCTGAAATCCTCCACAGGAGACCCTCCACATCGTGTTGCCTCGAGGAGCTCCTGGCAGCGGCACAGCCATAAACATGGAAAAGTTGGGTGAAGAAAGAGTGGGCACATTTCTGCCCACAAGTCCTCGAGACGGGCAGTTGTGCAGGACAGAGAGATCGCACCCAGACAGGCCCTGCAGAAACCACCGAGCTGTGAGGAGTGACTGGAGGACACAGCAGGAGATTTCATGCTCTCGCCATGTGCTTTGATGCTCTCGGCTAATGAGTTAATCAGCTGTTTGTTGTCGGGCCTGATGGGAAAATATCAACAAACACAGCTAGATGATGAAGTGGAGAGAGCAAAACATTTTCTGGCATGTGCTCCTTTGACTGTAACATCAAAGATCACATTAAGATTTTTGCAGAAGTTTGTTTAATTCCAAAATAGTCAGGGGTGTCAAACCCCATTTGCAGGAAGACCTGGGGAGAAGGACTCCACTGGAAGGGCAGGGGTGTTTAATATTTCACAAAGGGCATGACAGACCAATGCACAGTTCTCAAAACATCCTAATTAAAATGTTTTAATTAATGTTTGTTTAAGTATTAGCAGACATAGGGCTTCATGCGTCCCGGATATATCAGGTCCCATGGGAGCATCTTTTCCCTTTCCCAGGGGAAGGACACATCTTGAACCCCTCACAACCTCCTTTTGACATCGAGAGTTTCCTCATCTCGAAGGGCCAGGAGACTTATTTTTTTTTTATCCAAGCAGAAACCAGCCATGCAAAGCAAACAAAGCCAAGAGTGTGAAGGGAGCAGCAGACATGATCTTGCTTCCTCTCCAGGGCAGTAGTTTCAGTTCCCCAGCCCATTAATGTCATCAGCCCAGCATCCAGGTCTGCCCAGCATCTGGACCAGGCACACTCCTGCTCCCGTGCCAGGACTGGAGGTGCTCCTCCATCCTCAGCCACCTTGTCTTGTTCTTGGAGAAGGGACTAGAAGAGGGCTTCAGACAAAGCTGGACAACAAAATTCAGGGGAGCATCCCCGTTTCCACAAGGTCATTTTTTAAATGGAGAAGAGATGCTGCTTTGGTCACTCAGACAGTACATCTGAGATGCTGCTTTGGTCACTCAGAAGAGACAGTGCGTCTGATGTTTTCTGAAGATATGGGCTGAAAAAATGATGTAAGGAAAAGCAGGTAGAAAAACATTCTGTGTTTTAATTTTATGGGAAGTCTCCTGGGCCGGGAAGGGTTTCAGGGATCTCTAGGGGAAAATCTTGCTGCCATGACTTAGTTGCCACCATCACAGAAAAGCCAAGGACTAAATGTGCTGTGAAGACCCTGTGAATTTGCTCATGAAGAAGCACCCTTAGCCACTGGCTGCTTTACCTCCATGGAGATAAGAGGAAGGGTTTGCTGCTGCCCTTCACAAACAGCCCATCCTGCAGCAAAGCCAGAGAGGAGCAGGACAGCAGCGTGACTTGCACAGCCTTTTCCAGTGATTATTGACGGGGCTGAATGCACACTCCCAGCAGCATGGATGGGCAAATGAGCTACCACAAGATGGGTCTGCAGAAGCATGCACACGGAGCGAGCAGCCAAATGACAGAGGAGCCTGCACCTCAACCTGCAATGGATACGGAAAAAAAAAAAAAAAAAAATCCATTTTAATTATGCAAACCACATGCACATTTTTTTTTACCTATAAGGAAAGAAAAATAGGACTGTGCCTTATCTTTTTGTGCAATCGTCATTCGGTTTGAAACCCATGGATAATTAACAACATTATCATGCAAATTCAACTGAGTCGAGCTATGTAAATTAAAGCGGCTTCACCCACCTACCCAGAGAAATGGCAACCCTGTGCTGCCGTCGGGAAGCGCTGAGCACTATTTTTAGTGCTGCGCTGTGAGAGGGCCTGTGGGAGGGCATCTTCCAGAGGAATGCAGACGGTATCTTTGAGGAGGAATTAATCCTTAGGAAACCATTACCCGCTCTCACGAATGACCAAAGGATATTTTTTTCTCACTGGGCTGGAGTTTATGCACAGACAGCCGCGTGCATTGAAAGAAAATCATGACTCATTGAATTTAAGGAACTATTTATTGAAGCCAAATTTTCGAGTGCTCCTCCCTCTCCCTTGGCTCGCTGTCACAACGGTCACAACAGAGTCACAAATTTCTGTTTATTTCCCCTGAATTGGAGAAGTCAGGCTTTTTCAGGACTGCAAAGCTCTCGTGCGTCCTTAGAGCTGTGTGGAGAGAAGCCCACAGCTCATTTCGACCAGCAACACTTTCGCACACCAAAGGAGACCACGCAAATGCTCCGTGAAAAATAACCACCCAAAACACACTCTGAAGTGATTTTCTGAGGGTTTCAATTTATTAAATGTTTGCCCAGATGACCTCCAGCCTGTCACCCAGACTGCAAGGCCTAGGCCGGGGCCTAGGCCGAGCCCCCGCGGCTCCCTCTAGTGGGGCCTGGCAGAGCTGGTGGGGGCACCACAGCCCCAGTTTGGGGCACAGGGACATGTCACATCTTCCTGGTGGCAAACACTGCTCGAATGAATGTCGGAGAGTCACGAACTGCTGCTATTTTTTTTCCTCAAATACCTATAAATGTATAAGCTGACGCCTATCTGGGCTGAAATGTTTTGCTGGCACGTCTGAAGTGTCAAAACCCACGTAAACGCGCATTTTACCTGTGTATAAAGAGCTCCTGGCAGCATCACCTGTGAAAAAAAGCCATAATTACCTCATAAACAAACACTTTTAGATAAAGTTTGTAGGTTTGTTTCTTTGTGTGTGTGAGTGTCTGTTTTAATTTATTTATTATTATTATTCTTTTAAATGCATCTCCCTCGTTCTCACATATCGGGACTCAAAAATGTTTAACCCCACATCCAGGATTAAAAACTCTGTAGGTGAAGGAGGAAAGATTTGAAACTCTGTAGTTGAAAGATGTTCTGCCTCTGAAAGCAGCAGAGGTGTTCAGGAGTTCCCATCTCCCTGAACATCATCAGGACTTCACTTTCCAAAGTGACTTCAAAAAACAGGTTGCCAAAGGCTTGCAAAATTTTAAGGTTGAGAAAAATACATAAATAAATAAAAGGTGCAACTAACATCGGCCTAAAATTTTAAATCATTTAATGACTTTCTATGGAAAGCATTTGCATTTATCAGCCAGTGCTTCAGATGGCACGCAGCGGGGTCGGTTTGGCTGCTTATCCCCAGCATGAACCCATCCTTCTAATTTTGCCTCCCGCTTGTTGAATCTTGCCTGCTATTGCAAGGTCTTTAGGGAAAGACTTACATTTTCCTATGTGTCTGCAAAATGCCTGCCACAATGCCCGAGCCCTGTGGATGCTACTATAATAATAATTATTATTATTATGAGCACAATTCCCATTGTGAGCGGCGTGCAGTGAGGCGGCCAAGAGCCCTGCCACGAGCAGGTTTAGAGTCTGCCATCTAATTACAGGCAAAGAGGAGGTGCAAGAGGATCAGCTATAGCGGGGAAGAGGGAAAGGCTCTTGGGAGAGAACATGAGCATTTTACAAGGTAGATTTGCTCTCCTCACTTGTGCTTAACGAATGTGCTGTGACTTAATACCTTAAAGGTATTGCCTCAGACACCCCTTTTTCTTCTGCTGGGGAAGTCTGGGTGGACTTTGAGTTCCTTCTATATTTCCGTAGGATGTCTGCAGGCTGGAGGAGACCTTAAAATGCACCGAAGCATCGGAAGAAATCCCAATGCAGCCAATGCACAGGAAACACCGAGCCTGGGGCGAGGCCGCACAGCTGGGGATGGGCTGTGCAGGTGCTAAGGGCACGCGCGGAAAATTGGATGTGTCCTGAAACCCTCCGATTTATGGCCCCGCTGCAAACCATCTGCCTAGCACATGGCCCGTCGACACACACAGCTGAGAAATCCCACATGGAAACACAGCAGTCTTAGACGTGGGGCGAAAGGGACCATCCTGGTCATAAATACAGCACTGGGGTTTTGCAGGGAACCAAATATTTTATTCAGAACTGAGCCAGGAGGGAGACATTTTTTTGTTTTATGACCAAACCTGAAATTTTGGAATTTGTTTTCTACTGTGAAACGGGTAATAAATTTGTCAGGCACTGCAATTCCAAAATTGCTTAACTTCAGGTAGATCAAAGTGTTTGATTTCCATGAAATCCGATTTCAGCCTTGAAAATTATACACCATACGTATTACATTTTTGTATGAGACTGGAAGAAATTGAACCAAAACATTTTGGAAAGGAAATTCAAATTGTTCTTTCTGTCATTTTTCTATTCCATTTCCTTTCAATTTTTCTAGAGAAGTGAGATTTTGTACATCTCAAAGCCATTCTCCATGAAAATTCGTTTCTCAGCATGCTGGCTTCCCCTTACAGAAGGACACCAGTGGCCACACCGCTGCCAGAAACAAGCCATCAGGTGGGTCAGCGTTCACATCGGGAGCTGGGGATGAAAGCCCAGCCTGCAGCAGCAGCTGCCAAAGGGATGCTAAAAGGTAGCCTAAGAACAAACCACTGATCAGGGCGAGGAGGGCCAGCTGCTTTATCACTGCCTTGATCGATGACGAGCACGGTGCTGGCTGGGAAGACTTCTCTTTCATTAGGAGCTGTGCTCTGACTCATGGCTTGCTGCATCTGTGCAAATATATTCTGTTGACTTAATGCTGGTGTGGGTGCTGGGCTGCATCTTCCCCCACTCGGTATCGTGCAGGACAGCAGGACACCTCATTTTATAGGAGAGGCACATAAAAAGCAACAGCTGTAAGAAGCTCATGGGTTTTCTCATGGGCTCTGGCAGAGAGCTCCCCCAGCCCTGTGGGATCAGATTGTGGGCAGGCAGAGGAAAATGCAAGCAAAACTTCCCCTGCAAGGAAAAAGAAACAGCTTCACATCTTCTGAGCATCATGGCTGGCAGGCCTAAAAAGACAAATTATTTAAGGAGGATTTCACCGAGCACAAGGATAGGTTTTCAATGCAGACAGCACAGAGCGCACCTGGATCTGCACCCACCTAACCACACCTCTGGGTGCCTCGTGGTGCTCGGCAAAAGCAACCGGGCTCCTGCAGCTCTTTTTACTGAAATTAAACCAAAGAAGGGATCTCCGGCTGTGCAGCACCCGGGGGAAGGCGTCACTGCGGTGGCCGCGGTGGGGACGTGGCCATACAAGGCACCGTCCCCACCGCGCCGGCAGCCCTCGCCGTGGGAAAGTCTTTGATGTTACCAGAGCTCTGGGGCCGCACTTCCACCCCGGTACCTGATCTTGTAAACATCAGTGACGGCGCGGCTGCCGTGCACACAGAAACCACATCCTGTCACCCGCTCGGCAATCAGTGGGGCCATCTCGGTGGCCAGGACGTGGAGGAGTTGCGGCACTTGTCTGCTTGCTGCAAGGCAAGAGCGGTTCCCGTCAGGGCGAGGGGCCACCTTTTTGCACCCTATAAACCCTTGGGCTTGTGGAAATCCACCCGTGTGCAGCCAGGGCTTATTTTTTCAAGTGGCCGAGGCAGGCTACGTGCATCAGCTGATGGTTTCTGCCAGCAGTTTTCCTCTCCACAGGAACATGGATCTGACTTTATAATTCATGCATGCCTGGGAAGTTCAATCCAGTCCCACTGGAGTAGCAAGCTCAGTGGGAGTTTATTTATTTAAAGCAGTGCATGCAGTAGCATGGAAAAAATCAAATCTATCAGAAACCATAAGTCTTAATCCTGAAACAGCCTCGTTTTTCGTAAAATATGGTCTAGAGAAATGGCTTTTAAAATGTGGCTTCCACTGAGCCTTGGCTTAGCGTTGCAATCCCCACAGAACAATATTATAGCATAATAATTAAAACATTTACAAAATGAAGATAATCTATGGCTGATCCAAGTTTCTATGGAAATTTGGAGGCTATGGAGTATGCAGCTGTTCCCATCTAATGCAAAGGTTGGCTGTAGCTCTGCTTCTGAGCACATTCGTAACTTAGGGGATAATTTATCTGCTCTGTTTACACAGTTCTCAGCTTGCACAGCCCTCGAGCACAACTTTTCTACGTTTCCCAAGCAAAAGGCTGCCTTACCCTCCCCTCTCAACCTGAGCACTTGGTGTTCTCTGTGCTAACAAAACTCCTCTGCTGAGAGGTGTGGGTGCCTGCGCCGGTGCCACAGCCGCTGCCTGAGGTGCGTCAGAGCACCCTGCACTGCCGTGCCCACAAAGATGGTCCCACAAAAATGCTGCATTTCCCCTCGGTGAGGTGTCAGGCTCCTGTTTCCTCCCCACACGGGCTGCATCCCGTGCTGCCGCCCTTCCCGAGTAGCAGAGGAAGGGGCACAGCTGGCTGGCACGGCTGCCAGATGTGCCGCCAGATGTTTGGCTGTGGGCATGGGACCTCCTGCTCCTGGGCTGAAAGTTCCTGCTAACAGGCTTTGCTGAGCTCATCGTGAAGCCAAAAACAGGGAAATTTTCCCAAATTTTGAGACCGGTGGCTTCAGGACATTTAAATATTTTTATTTAAAGCCATGTGCATCCCTGTCCGCTGCAGACAAATTACGGTGTTAGCACTTTGCACACACACAGTTGAGGGGAGGATGCTGTGAGACAAAGCAAGAGGGGAGAAGCACTTCAGGAAGTATCTTAAATGTCACAGCAAAGGACTTCTGGGCTGATCCCACTTCACAGCACTTCATAAACCAGAGCAGTATGAGACTGGGCAACCCGAGCTGTGAGCAGTGGAGCCCAGAGTCAACATTTGCCAGCTGCTCACGTTCATGACAGGACAGGGTCTTCCATTCACGGGTTTATCATCTCCAGTGAGCCTGCAGCTGATGCAAGCAGTTTTCATTTTGCAATGTGAAATTGCTGATGAAGAAAGCATTAATGACCGCTAAGCAAAGGAAGCTGGCCAGTGGAGCACAGCTCCAGTGGCCACACGATGGCCCAAGGGCTGCAAACCTTCAAACCTTACAGAAGCAACAGCAAGGAAACCTGCTCTTTGCAAAGGGAGAGCAAAGCTATGTCACTCAGGAGGGCAGAGAAGAAAATATTTCAGCTGAAACAGTGCTGGTGTTTCCCATCCTGGACAACTATTTAGTAACATTCACCAAAAATTTGCTTAGCATTAGTCCAAACTCAAAGAGACAGCCTCAAAGTGTCAGGATTTGGCAGTCAGAAGGGAAAAAAAAGAAAAAAGAAAATAAAACCAACAAAACAAAACAAAACAAAAGCAAGCATACAAACAAACAAGAAACACCCCAAGCCCCAGTATTTTAATTCCTGGTCACATCGAACCAGTGCAGCACAGCTGAGTTGCAGTTGGGATGGAGGCGGTGATGGCTCAGAAGTGCCATTGATATTGGAGAGCAGCTGAATCCAGAGGCCCTCGGACACTTCTCAGTGAAAATAATTTGCGAATGAGTATTCACATCTCATATCATTAGAAAGCCGGTCAGAACACAAGGGAGCTCAGAAGCTGAGGTCAGTACCACTCCATACGGCAAGCCTGCACTTGAGGAGAATTTGCTCCATTCTGCACAGCCCGTCTCAGCACCTCCAGCCTGCTCATGGAAACACTTGGAGGAAAATGTGTTTCCTGCCATCCTGAGAACATTAATTTGGCTCGCATGTACTACTGCAGGGGGTTGTGCCAACCAAGAGAAACTCTGCTAATAATTTTGTCCGCAGGGCTTGCATGTCCTGTATCACACTCTGACTGCAAGGGAACGTCTGTGGCATGTAATTACTGGGCATGTGTTTATTTTACTCCGATCTTCAATGTTTACAAAAGACATGCAGAGCAGAGAAGGGGGTTCTATTGTTTTCCTTTTCGTAGACTTCTGAGTACATAACATTCCTGGACAGATAGCTGGTAGTGCGGAGGGATGCGAGCCAAGGTGCCGTGACCCGAACCCTCCCGCTTGCAGGAGGTGCAGGACGCAGACACAGGCACCGGGATGCTCCGACACAGAGAAATGCCCCATGCACTGCCTGGCATTTCCCAGCGTGCTGAGGAAGGTGGCAGGAGGAGGGACAGGCACTTCAAGTGACACAGGGGCGATTCCTAGAAGCAGACCAGCCGTGCCCCTGCTTGGCCGTGCCGAGGGCTCGTTTCAGGCGTGCGGCTCCCTCTGTGCCTGTGCCAGTGTTTGCAGCAATAAATCGCTGCCTCGGCCGTTTGCATTCCTTATTCCCCACGGGAGCCCTGTTGCTAAGTCACACGGTTCTGTCACTGGGGAGCGCCTATGGCTTTTCCTAGCTGATTTTTTTATTTATTTATTTTTTTCCCCCTTGTGGGTATCTTAGTTTCCTTACGCCAAATTCCTAAATTTCCAGCTAGATACCATCTCACTTTTGGTCATCTTACCTGCAGCTCGGACAGGCCATGAGGATCCTACATCAGTCCCTGACCATCATAGTAATGGATGGGAATAAAATATGAATTACACCAGCCTAGATTAGCCAGCAAGTGTCCTTCAGCACCTTCAGAAACCTATTAGAGAGCAATTTGCACAGTGCTTGCTTTCTGGCTTGCAGAACACTCTCTCTCTCCCCCGTATGGCCAATTTGGTTGTTTATGGGATTACACTTTTTTAAACCAAGAGCCTAAAAAGCTCCATGCACAGTCGAATCTGTCTCTACACAGACGATAGCTTCCTTTTTTATTTTTATTTTTTAATTACTAAAATTCCAGGAGAGGATTTTCTTTGTAACTACTTACTGCTACGAGCATTAAAACAGATCTGAAGTTAACCAGCGAGTAGAACAAATGTGAATATCCTCGGCCTCTCAGGTCTGCTAAACCAGAAAACTATTTTCAAGGCAATCCAAGAGTCACAGCCCCCCAGGCAGGGCCAGCACCCTCCCTCGTTACAGCCCGGGCTCTGTGCGCTTAACGAGCAGCTGCGTGTGACCGCTGGGCTGGGAAGAGCTGAACGGAGCAGCTGCGATGTGGACGCATTCTGGGAGCAAACAGGGCTGTGATTTGCCTTCCCAAAAAGAGGGGGGAGAGCAGCGTGTGGGATTGCACTGCGAGCACATCCACTGTAGAGACAGGCGCAAGGGAAATCCGCTTGCAAAGAGAGAACTGGATCCAGACCTGGAACTGTAACAGCATGGGCACCAGCCCAATTTCTGGAGCACGTGCACGTCTCCAGCAGCATCACCAGTCCTTGCCGCGCTCTGCTCGGGCCAAGATTTCTACTGAAAGGGAAGATCATTTTTTCATTTTTCTGTCATATGCGGAAAACAGACTGCAGAAAACTTCCTCGCAGCACAGAATGCCTTCCCTGCTACAGACAGACAGAAATGTCCAATTCGCTTACAGCTAAAAATGAGTGCAAAGAGAACTTTAAGATCTTTTTTTTTTTTTTTTTTTTGTCCATTGGATATTCAGTAAAATAAAAACACAGCTTAAGCATCTGAAAATCTGAAGTAAGAGACTTTGCTCTCGCATGTCATGTGGCTGCCGGCTGGCTCCCCGGGAGACAGAGCTCACGCCCACGGCACGAGGCAGGCTCCCATTACATGGGGGGACAGGGTGGTGAATCACTGCCAACAGGGATTTACCCTCTCGACAGGGCAGGGTGAGGTCAAATAGGCAAGCCTAGGGCACTGTGAGTGCTGCTGAGAAGTGTTTTGGGTCAGGAGACACCTCGTTGCCTACCTGCTGCTGGTCCCCAGTAACAGAAGCTGCTCCTCCAAGGGTTCTCCAGGAAGGGAGGGAGCAGATATCAGATGGAAAGGTGCTGGGTGAGATAAAAGAAGTCTTTCACAGCGCTGGCTCACAAAATCACAGAAAAGGTGGTTGCAAGTGACCTCTGGGGACCTCTGGTCCAGCTCGTGGCCTCAAAGCAGGGCTGGCACCAGCACCAGGTCAGGGCAGCTCTGGTGTTGCTGCAGGAATGGGACATGCCAAGGACTGTCCTCAAGAGGCTTAGAGCTGCTGATGAAAATAGCAGGATATGTAAATTACCTGTTCTGCACGGGAAGGTACCGGGGAGCTCTGAGCCCAGCCCAGTGGCAGCAGTTCCCATCTACCTCCCTTCTCATCCTCTTTGCAAACTCCAATGTGCAGAAGCAAAGCAGCAGGGATTGCCCCCACAGTCTGCATCCATCTTCTTCTCTCCTTTTTTAATCAAAAAAAAAAAAAATCACATGCTGATTATGCAGTGATTTTGCCATTTTTCTTTGAAACAAAGCTGTCACGGAGAAAGCAGAACTCATCAGTCGTGCCAACAGCTAAGACATAAAGGATGAAGATTGAAGAATGGCAAAATAATAAAAAGCAAAGACACCAAAAACATCCTTAAAAAAGGGGGGACAAGTAGGCAGAGAGAAAACAGAGTTGGGCAAGAGGAAAGAGATAAGTGCCTTTTGCTATACACCCCTCAAGTACATTTTGCTTTTTGGAGAAAAAAAAAAAAGAAAAGAAAAGAAAAAAGAAAGATCTGGATCTCGGTACTTACATCAGGGCATTAGAAGATCATTACATTTGCAGACACTCTGTCTCCCCCAGTACATTAACAGCCCGTCCCCACACCCCATACAATATTTCCCTGGAGATGTCACCTTCTTTCATCACATCTGATATCTAATGAAGACATAAGAGAATTTAATAACAGCCTGCGCAGGGGAGATTTCTGCTCAGACAACCAAGGGAGCTGCTGATGTGTTGTTACTGGAGATGCTGGAGAAGGATAAGAATGACCAAGAAACCATGGGGAGTCTAGTTCTGGAGGTCGTGCTGGTGGATCCACTGATATCACCCCAGCCAGCCTGGAGTTTGTACTCACCAAGGCATAAAATCTTTCCCATCTGTCCCAGGTTGTGTTGTCTGAGTGAGTTCAGGTCCCAGCACTTGGCTCTACACATTTACATGACTCCTTGCAGCGGGACACCCACCCCAAGGCAACAGCTGGATAAGCAAAGTGATCCAAGCAAATTTGCACCCATTTCAAGCTCTCTTGCTGGATGTAACGAGATGTGCCTGGACTGCTCAGAAAAATCTTGCCCTGCTTGGGAAATCGGCCCCCGCAGGCACCTGGTTGGGCCCCATGGGAACACGCACTTGCACAAGAAGTGGAGTGTTTTATTGCCCATCCCTGATCGTTTCCACGCCCCAAATTTTCAAGACTGACCATTAGTTTTGGGTGCTTAGACTGAAACATTTTGGGGGGCTGATTCTCTTTTTTAAAAATTTTATTTTTTTTTATCAGGAGGTGAACAAGTGTTTTCAGAGCAGTGGTCTCGTATAAAAGTCTCAGGTGAGAAATCCCCAAATCAAGGTTACAAAAATAACACGTCACTTTTAAACATTATGGCAGGTTAAAATAAAGCCGGCTGACCTGATGGCTGTGCCTTGAGGTTCCTGTATGCGTTGTTCGTCCGGTGTCTGCCAGGTTCCTCCTCAGCCAGTTCTCGCTCTGCTCTTACAAACCCATGTTCACGTACTCACTTTGCAGAGACATACTGGAACGTTTTTATGAGGGCTTTTATTGCCGGTGAGGGAAGGCAGGCTGCACTGCAAATTGTTTATGACTCTTCTCAGGTGTGTGTTTAAACACAGAATGAAATAAGCCAAGTACAGACAAATGCTTACTTGCAAACACGTTTTGGATGCTCCAGCAGCACCCCCGTGACGAGCAGCATGAAAGCTTTGGAGCCGCCTTTTAGCCGTGAAGCACAGACCCTCACGCACGCAGGACGTGGTGGGCCCTGGCTCTCCTGGCAGGGCACAACACCAACACAGGTTTTGCCTGTTTTGCCTCCATGTGGCCATTGCTGCTTTTCCCACCATCTTAAAAAAAAGTTTTAAAATGGTACCATTACTTTTTAAACTCCTTCATATTGAAGATTTTGGTATGAATCTGGTTGGGGCTCAATCCAGATGTTGCTGGCAGCTGCATCAAGGTTATCTGTAAGTGAAGGCCTCTGGGGCTTTCACTCCCCCTTCTCTCTAAATCTGTGAATTCAGTTTTTACTACACTAGAAATTTCTCAACTTTTGCTTTTCAGCTATCTAAAGTAAATTGCCAGATTTCTTATGTGCTTCAGGAGATTCCTCCCCAAATGAAGCAGGGATGGGACTTGCTCCCGAGCTGTTTTCACCCAGTAACACAGTTGTATTTCCCTTGTTCCTGGACTCCCTGGACTCCCTCTTTCTGGGCTCCCTGTGCTCAGCATCTTCCTTCTACCTCTGGAGACCCGTCCTTGCACCTCAGGACCTGGGTCACCCACCTCTTTGTCACCTATTTCTGCGTCACCTACCTCTGCCACTCAGGAGGGTCCCCGCCACCTTGCTGCCGGAGCACTGAGCCACAGGGAAGCAGAGGTTTGCAAAGCCCAGAAATAGTCCTAGGGAGAAGAGAAGAGAACAGTGAGTGTTGGCTACCTGGCAAAGCTTCTGTACATGTTGTCGCGGTGGAAAATGCCTCGGAGGTCACATTAACGTGTAGGCTCATTGCTACGGACTGGCTCGCGTCCACCCCACCAAGCACTCTCTGAAGGGCACAAGCCATGGTCACGCTTGGCAAAGGTCTTTCCTGAGCTCCCTGCAGAGCTCCACAGAACCTGGGTCAATAATGATCACATCCTGGACTTCTTTTTTTTGTGCTAGTTTGAAATTCTCCAGATAATGAAAGGCACTGCCAGAACTGCACGTCCACAGAAGGACACGAAGGTGTCGTGTGTTCTGCATCGTGGCGTGAAGGTCAGTGGGCATGAGGTCTCCTGAGATGTTTGGAGGACTGTCCAAGGTAGAGCCTGGTCCAGCTCATGACAGGTTTTTCTGTCTGGGCAACCCTGGAAAAAGCAGCCTGTCAGTCGTGCCGAGGTTTCTTCTTGGGAGAAACCAGTTGGTTTGCTCCAGAGCAGAGACAGGAGGGAGCTCATATGCATGCCGTGGAGACAGCCGGTGAGCAGAGCCCTGGGGGGAACACAGGCAGCCAAATTGGCTGTGCAGACAGAAGGTGCTTTCATATCCCCGTCTTGGACGAGCGATGCCATTTCTCTGCACCCAAAACCTGCAGGATTGGCACTGTCGGTCCCTGCTGCCTCCTGGCATCGTCACAAGCATCCGTGTTGAGGTGTCTCTGGCACGTGGCTGTCAGCCGCCTGGAGCTCCTCCAGCTCTGGAGCATCCCCCAGGTGAGGATGATCTCCGTGCCTTGGATCTACAACATTTTAGCTACTTTTAAAAGTTAGTACAAAGGTATTCTTCTTTATACATCTCAGGTGCCCTAGCCTTTGATTTTGGGCCTGAATAGAGTTTTAGACTTAGTTTTAACCTTAGCATGAATGATACATAAAGCAGCCTCTTAAAAACAAGCTGAATAGCACTTAACTGACTGATTCCAATAGCTCCCCATCCTATTTACAGCCCGTGTTTTCAATATTGCAGTTCTGGCTGAAAAGCAGCATGAGACAGCATTATTCTCTATAATACACACTCTATTTACAGTAATACATGAAAACGTTTACTTTAAATTACAAATGTAATTATAAAGGTATAATTACAGATAAGACTGTGCCTCTTTGAGCCACCTCAAATTACAGCTTCATGTTATAACAATAAAACAGGATCAAATTAATGACCTTGATTAATTTCATTACGGAGCGGAGCGAGCGCCGCTCGGCGCAGGGTGAGCTTACTCTGCCTGACCTCGTTTCATCCGCGCCCTTCCCCTGCAATCGAGGCGAGCCTGATAATGCATCAGGTGAGCCTTTCCTCCCCCCAGCGTTGCCAAGCGATCGGCTGCAGGGTTATAAATGTTGAGTGCTTAATACATGGTACACGGGGAGCACAGATTAACTTTTTTTTTTTTTTCCCTCTTTCCAGGTATTAAGGGACCTGGGATGGCTCAGCTGAACGGCACGCAAATAGAGTTTGGAACCAGAAATGAACCCAGATTTAAAGCAGCCGGCAGTGCTTGTGTACAGACTGAACTGATTTATCGTGCATGTTATGTGCTGAGTTGCAAAACCTTGCTATATTAGTGATTTAACTGGAGGAACAATTTGATTTGTCATTACCAATAGGGATGGAACTAAATTAGTCTCCCACATACTCTATGCTGATGAGGTCATGCTTAGATTTTCCTTTGTAGATTCACATTCGCAATACTTTTAATCACTAGTAAGAAACATAACATGAGTAAAACTATTATGAAACGCTGGAGTACTTTCAGAGGGGTTTAGAAACCCGAGAAAATTGTAGAAGTCAAAATCAAAGATAAGCTTTAATATTCAGCCCTGTGTTGTACATCTGATTAAATATTAATTCACAGCAGTATGTTGGGTACTTACAGTCAAGTTCTCTTGACCCATTTGAAATGCACGGTCACGTAAATGAACCTGGCATTTGAAAAAGGACAGCCCCGCAGACTCTACTTAAATCTTTTCTACAGTTCTTGCTTAATTAGTGGCCTGACCCTGCCCTTATAAGTTGTTGACTTGATCAGTGGCGTGGAGTTATGAAAACACTGCTGTAAGATAGATAAGCAAGCTTTGAAAAACACAGAGGCTCTCCGCAAAATATTTTGTTCACTTTCTTTTTTTTTTTTTCCCTTAATCAAAGGACAAAAGGATGGCAACCAAATTCTAGTTTATTCAAAGAATTTGGCTTTTTACTGCCAGTAGCAGAGCTGCAGTACATATGGGAACATGGGGAACTGGTCTGCTTTCTAGCTAAAAAGAGGAAAAAAAAAAGCCAGCGGGTGGAGCAGCTCCCTGAACTACTTAGTGGGAGATGATGTGGGAAAAGAAGCAGATAGCTCACAGTCCAAACTCAATGCTGAATTACCCAAACCATAGCAACTCTCTTTGCTGTTTGCCTGTTGTTGGGGAACTTGGTGGGAAGACAGTGCAGGCTAGAAGAGTTCTACTTCATCTTCTGCTCTTCCCCTTCTCAGGGGGTACATGACGTCCTTGACCATGGCCAACACATCCACAAACATCAGTGAATGTTGGCTACTCTCAGCCCCTGTTTTGACCATCAAATAAATTCAGCACTGGGGTGAAGCCACCTAATCCCCATCCACAGCCATTCCTTCATTCCAAAGCCTGGTACTGACATTTTTTTTTTTTTTTTTTTTTCTTGTGAGAAATTGTTAATAGCATTTTGTTTGGTATCACTGCTTTGATCTCCCCACTTAAATACCACATTAATTCAGAGCTCCCCTGGGTGGATGAGTTCACAGTATTAGTTAACCTCTTCTGCTGGAAGTCTCAAATATGATTTAGAAATAATTCTGTGCATTGTGATGGAAACAAACAAACAAAAAAAATCATCATTAATTACAAGTATAAATAAGAGGGATTTCTGTCATTAGATGAAACAGAATTCAGATGCCAGTTCTTTGCATTTCTTTTGCACTGCATTAAAGCAAATTTTCAAATTCTGCATGGTCTGCCTAACAAGTCTCCTTTCTGGTAAGAAACTAAAGGCATTTTCTGGAATGCCTGTGAGCAATAAGCTAGCTGGATCCAGGAAATATTTAGATTTTGATCCTTCTTTTGGGAATAGAAACCGAGCCGCAAAATTTGGGAACACCCAAATTTCATTACTTCTGTCAACTTGTGAATGGTTTATTACTAGTTTAAACTCCTTTAAGCCATCCTTCAAGGTGTTTTTGATCATATCCATGAAAGGACCAAGGTCAAGCTATGTGAAGAGCCTCTCAGCTGCCACGTGCAGATTTCTGACTTCTCACAAAGAACATGCTTGTGGGGGCTCGACCATCTACACCTTGGCAGTGCTGAGGAGCCTCTCTTCCCAACAACTGCTAGGTGTTCCTCAAGCACAAAAGGAGGAACATGGTGACTTCACCACCCAGTGCCAGAAGGAGGCTTTTTGCTGGTGGTAGTGGTCATTTCTGTGTTATATTAAAGATTACACCTTTATATTTTTAATCTAATTACATTTTATGTTGGAATTCCGAGTTCCTGTCTCTAACCAGTCAGCTGCATGCCACAGTCACCAAGGCCCAGACGTGGCTCCATGCTCATCCTTCTGCCCTGTGAATCTCCAGCCTGGTCCTGCACAGGCCTGAAGGTGCTGTGGAGGCCATGGGGTCACTCCTGCGATCCTCTGACCCTGTCTGTGAGCTTTCAAGGCTCAGAGCCTACATTTTTGGTTTGGGGCTGAGTTCTGCAGGTGTTGGCCTGTTGTGTAAGCAGAGAGCACCACCACCAGATACAGGGCACCATCTTACCGCCATGCTGCTGTGGTGGGCTGAATCCCAGCTTAATTCCACTGCAGGTTGTCATCTCAAAGGAACAACAAACACCTCCTTTGAGTGGACAGGGCTGCCACCTGGAGGCACCCCAGTTTTCCTGCAAGGTCAATGAAGGGAGTGAAGCACCTCAGTGAGATCGACTGCAGGCTCAAGAGGTGTCTGACTGGGTTGTGTAGGACATTTGCAGAGACACGATGTGTGATGTGTAGGGCATGGTCAGGAGACGGCCATTTTGGCAACTAAGTTAAGTGGAGGTTTTGTGCTGGAGGCCTCTCTGAGGCTCCAGATTTCACTGGGGAGCAGGGTTGTTACTTCCTGCAAAGCCAAGGCAAAGTCTTCAGGGGGTTTCTTTCCAAGGCCCAGGTTCAAGTAGGACCCTGCCACTGACCTAACGCTCTGTTAGATGAATAAGGACTTTCAGCACTTCCATCTTCCCCACTGAGCACAGGCACCTCACAAACTTCCTTAAAAGCACACCTTAAAACAAGTTTTCTCTGGTCAGTACCAGCGATTTCTCCTTCAGCGCCTGCTGAAAACGGAGTCTCAGAGAAGCTTCAGCATTGCCCAACAGCACTGGGCTACCACAAGGGCCAGCACTGAGCACGGCTGGGTTGCGACAGGGCTTGTGGCACTGCAGTGGTACGTCAGAGCCCATGCTGACCCGCTTCCGACAGCGTGACCAAGAGGAAGCAGCCTCAAAAGCATTACATTGCTGCAGAATTCCCGAGAAGTCAGTGGCTAGGCGGAAACAGGAGGTGCAACCGAGTACCCAGCAGGTCCCACAGCAGTGAACCTTCAGCCCAGCTACCTGCTCCTGCCCTGGCTGTGGGTTGCTGGGTTTTTCCGCGTGCAGAGCAGAATTTTTGGGCTGTGTTTTGGGCAGCAAATTAACCAAGCGAGAAGGTGATGGGGAGTCACAGTGGGGCTTGCTGCTCCTGCCACCTGACCCGGTATGGTGGCTGGCCTGCTTTCTCTGGCACTGCAACCACAGTTTGGTCCTGGGCATTTTGCCATGTGCAGGGAGGATGGATCTGGACACCGTCCTGCCTTTTGGGCTGTGCCTTGCTCCACAGGTGGCACTTGGGGCACTGTTTGTGAGGAGATGCCCTGAGCACATAGAGGTGGAGCAGTCCATCAGCTGGTGAGCAAACAAGCGGCCACCTTTCTGTTTGCCCAAAGAACAGATCTGTACTGTCACCCCCAGAATACTGGGTGGACAAAAGGTTTTCCCCAAACCTCATAGTTAGCATGACTCAACACAGGCTGATTTCCAGAGAAGAGGCTGTTTTAACTCATTTCCTCCTAGTCCAGCAGCAGGAAGCCTGTCTGTAGGAAGCTTGGGTTAGACCATCACAATGTCAGCAAAAGTGGCAAAAAAGAAAGAGAGAGAAAGAGAGGGAGGGAGAAAGAGAGAAAGAGAAAGAAAGAGAGAAAGAGAGAACGAAAGAGAGAACGAAAGAACGAAAGAAAGAAAGAGAAAAGTCTTCTTTTCTAAATCTGCCTTAGTTTCATTATTTAATAAAAATTCTTATGAAGGATATGAATTTTTAGGTGACAGCAGTCTAATAAATTTGCTATATTGGCCACAGGACTCAATTCTGACTAGTTAACTCAATAGAGCAAATCTTACCTGTTGTCTCACCTGCCCATTGCCTTGCTCCTAGTTCTGTGTTGGCTCCAGTTTCAGTGGTATCTGCTGACAACCGTTTACAACAGGGGAAACTGTCCATCTCCCCCTGGCTGTGTTTCCTCAGTTTGCCAAGACTTGGGCCTCTGTTCTCTGTGCTTTTGTGACCAAAAGCTTCATGTAGAGAAACGGAGCTGAACTCAAAGCAACCAGTTTACAACCAGGTAATTTCGGAGTCCGAACCCAAGTCTTCATTTGAATATTCATGGCTGCATCTCTTCCTGCAGAAACAAAGACCTTGCTG